GATGGTCGTGACCCCCGCACTGATCAACCAGTCGGTGAGGCCACTGCGGTTGACAATGTCAACGTTATATATGCCTTTCCTGCCCCTCACGATGTCTTTAATTTTCAGGCATTGTTTGATCCTGCATGGCTTTTAGAGGCCCCGTAGATTTCTCGGGGTACACTTCGGAGGTGGGGTGGATGTAACGGTTCTGGCTTGTGTGCTGCCCACCGAGTCGCACGGGCGCGCCAAGGGATATCTGGTCTGTCTCGTCTGTCTGATGCTGGCAGGACTACTCGGATCCCCGACACCAGCCGCCAGAAGTGTTGTTCTGCAGTACTCCCTTTCCTGGCCGCCACAGAGGGCAGCTTCCAGGAAGTAGGGTAGGCTTGGGATAAGTGGGTACAGAGGCGCTGAGAAGCAGGCACCCGTTCCGCCTGCGCCCACTTATCCCGTCTGTGTGTTTTTGCCATTCCTCCCCTGGCCAGGCTCGCAAAGAGAGAAGACTCTTGCCTGCCCGCCGCGCGGGGATAGCTGTGCACGCCTCTCTGTCTGTGCTTTCTCTCTACAGTCGGACAGTCGGACAGTCGAAATGTCTTATGGCTACGCGCCAGGGACTAGTAGGCTGAGGGTGAGTGGGTACAGAGGCGCTGAGAAGCAGGCACCCGTTCCGCCCGCGCCCACTCACCCTCCTTCTGCGCTGCTTTTGTCCTCCCCCCCCGCCCAGGCTCGCAAAGAGAAGCAAAGACAATTGCTCTTCGCTTCCTGCTGCGGGGGGCGGCATGCTTTCTGCCTCTCTAGCCTTGTTCTCTGTAGTGTCCTGTGCCGATTCGTCAGGGTTCTAGGCTAGGCTAAGGATGAGCGGGCACAGAGGCGCTGAGAAGCAGGCACCCGCACCGCCTGCGCCCACTCATCCTTTATGTGCTCCTTTTGTCCCTCCCCAGCCCAGGCTTGCGAAGAGAGGAAGGGCTCCTCCCGCCGCCGTGCTGACTCTGTCTTGTCGTATAATTCTGCTGCTGGCCAGAGGTTGAGGCTGGAAGCCCAGGAGCCAGGACGCGGGCTTCAAATTGTCTCACCAGTCTTGCCAGCATCGCTTGTCTGATCGGGCCCTCGATTTTCTCGTTGTCCCTGTTTGCTCGGTTCGGTCCCTCGCTCGGCTCTGTCGGGTCCTGGTCCGCCCCTCGTTTCTTTCGGCCCCTCTTCGGGCCCCTCGCTCGTCGTTTCGGCGCCACGGGCAGGAGCGTTCGGCAGACGATCACCCGCGCGCAAATCAAAAGCCAATCAAAAAATCAGCTGGAGCTCAAGGCCCGCGCCGTTCCACGAGTTGGCGGCCGCTGCTGTCCACGACTGGCGTTCCTCACTCCGAGCTAAGGCCTCAAACAGATCCGCGAAGTCAACCTTGCCGCGCCCAGGCCTGGCCTCTGAGATCGCGCGCCGCTCCCCCAGGTCATTCTCCAAGGCCCAGGGGCCCCAAGGTTCCCAAACCACAGCCAGCAGAGTGGCGATGGTGGCAGCTGTAGGCAAGCCGACTGCGGCAAGCCAATTCCTCGCCATCTGTCACCTGCTGGCTTCGCCTCAATACTGGCAAGCACTCTCCTCCAGACGCGCCTAGGTCTTCGCAGCATCGAAGTTTTAGGTTGTAGAATCTGAAACCACGCGTCGATCGCGTCAAAATCGTGAAAAAGGCCGCCCCCCCCCCTGCTATACTCCAGCGCAAGAAAAGTCGTCAGACACCGCCCACCTCTGGAGGCACCTCTAGACAGCCGCCCAAGCGCCCTCCGCCAACACTGCGCTAGGCGGGGCGCCATGGACCTCGCCTGAGTATGCGGCCTCTGAAGAAGCTAAGATCAGGGACATATTGCGGGCCAATTTCTCGCAGATGCCGGCGCCTTTGCCAAGCTTGCCGACGCGCTGGGGCCCGCGCTCAGCCCCTGCACAACGCAGCTGCTGCAATCCTAGAGATGGCAGCCATTGAAAGTCCTGTCTGGAAAGCCCGTCTACCCCTGATTTGTTCCCCATATCCTAAGATGGGGTTCTTGTTATTACTTGGACGCCTCCTACTCCTCCTTTTTCCTCCTCCTCTTTTCTCCTCCCCTCCTGTCGGACTTACTCATACTCAGACTTGCTCATGCACAAACTTACTCATACTCAGACTTACGCATACTCAGACCTACTCATACTCAGACTTACTCACACTCAGACATACTCATACACAGACTTACTCATACACAGACTTACTCACACCCAGACGTACTCATACACAGACTCACTCATACCCAGACTTACTCATACACAGTATTAGTCATACTCAGACTTACTCATACCCAGACGTACACATACACAGACTTTCTCATACACAGACCTACTCATACCCAGACTTACTCATACACAGACTTACTCATACTCAGCACCCCTAAGGGGAGCCGCCAGGGGTGGTTGCACGGGCTCGTTCGCGGCCATTTTGTGGGGATGTCTCAGGCGGTTTGCCTGTTTCTGGGCCCAACATCCTTCGCTTGGAGAGCAGATTGGAGGATGTCTCAGGCGGGGCGCTGGTTTCAGCACCCCTAAGGGGAGCCGCCAGGGGTGGTTGCACGGGCTCGTTCGCGGCCATTTTGTGGGGATGTCTCAGGCGGTTTGCCTGTTTCTGGGCCCAACATCCTTCGCTTTCGGAGCAGATTTGGAGGATGTCTCGAGCGAGGCGCTCATTTCAGCACCCCTAAGGGGAGCCGCCAGGGGTGGTTGCACGGGCTCGTTCGCGGCCATTTTGTGGGGATGTCTCAGGCGGTTTGCTTGTTTCTGGGCCCAACATCCTTCGCTTGGAGAGCAGATTTGGAGATGTCTCGAGCGAGGCGCTCATTTCAGCACCCCTAAGGGGAGCCGCCAGGGGTGGTTGCACGGGCTCGTTCGCGGCCATTTTGTGGGGATGTCTCAGGCGGTTTGCCTGTTTCTGGGCCCAACATCCTTCGCTTTCGGAGCAGATTTGGAGGATGTCTCGAGCGAGGCGCTCATTTCAGCACCCCTAAGGGGAGCCGCCAGGGGTGGTTGCACGGGCTCGTTCGCGGCCATTTTGTGGGGATGTCTCAGGCGGTTTGCTTGTTTCTGGGCCCAACATCCTTCGCTTTCGGAGCAGATTTGGAGGATGTCTCGAGCGAGGCGCTCATTTTCACCCCCCAGGTGGGCCAGATTTTGAGGATGTCTCGATCGGTTTGCTTGTTTTGGTGGCCAGGCTCGTGGGCGCAGATTCTTCTCAGGATGCCACAGGAGGCTCCAACAGGCTCCAGGAGGCCCCAGGAGACCACATGAGGTCCCAGGAGGCATCAGGAGGCCACAGAAAGACTCAAGAGGCCACAGGATGTCCCAAGAGGCTCCAGGAGGCCCCAGGAAGCTCCAGAAGGCCTCAGGAAACCACAGGAGGCCCCAGGAGGCAACAGGAAGCGCCAGGAGGCCTCGGAAGGCAACAGGAGGCCCCGAGAGGCCCCAGGAGCAGGAGGCCTCAGAAGGCAACAGGAGTGGCTCCAATCCCATGTGTTTTACGGATGCCCCTATCGATTGGGCCTCACCTGGAGCACGATTCTTTGATGTTCTACGTATGTTTCTATAGATGGTCCTTCTCCTGTGTGCACAATCCTAAATGTGTTACTCATGTTCCTATGTATTGGGCCTCTCCTGGGGCACGAGTCCTTGGTGTTTTACGCGTGTTCCTATAGATTGCCCTTCTCCTGCGGCTCTAATCCGCAATGTGTTATGCACGTCTGTTGCTATAGATTGCGCCGCTCCTGGGGCACGAAACCTTCCTGGGAGGTCCCAGGAGGCCCCAAAAGAGGCCCCTGGAGACCCCAGGAAGCCCCAGTAGGTTTCAGGAGGCCCAAGGAGGCCCAAGGCTCATGCACAGAGACGCGCTCGTACTACTGAGGATCATTCACACTCCAATTCATTCGCAGTTAGATTGATGTCCAGACCGTCACAACTGAAGCCCGTTAATATTCGAAAGCTCTTGCGCCTAGACATTCGCGGCGGACAGGCCCATGCGAGTAGATGCACATATGGGGAGCTCCACGCAGTGAATAATTGTTCAGGCAGGGCTGGTGGGAGGACCGATATGACCCGCCTGATCCAGGGAACGCCCAGCGGGGGCCGCGGGCGCCGCTCGGCCCTGCGCTGGGCCTCGGACCACCAGGCTCCGACCTCCTCGGGAAAATCGGAACTGTCGCCAGCCCACTTCCGAAACCAACGATCCGTTTTAACAGCCATGCGCTGGCGAGAATCGAGCGCCGCATCCCCCGCGGCCCCAACCTCACCCACGAACGCCGTCTCATCGCGAATGCGGTTGCACAGGCCGCGGCCCCCAGCCCCATCCTGCTGAAATGCCCAATCTTGGAGACGCGTTAGGGTGGGATTGAGGGCTTCGCGGTGCGCCCTGGCCGAATTCTGCCCGGCCTCGGCCTCGACATCTCCGATAGCCTAGTCTGGGGCCGCTTTCGGAACGGCGCCCGCGGGCCCAATCAGCTCGAAGCTTCGGGGTCAATGGCAAAATCGCAGAGACTGGCGTCGAACCTGCCATCTCTCCGACGCGCCCAACAAGCCCGCTGGGCTCACCCTGCGAGCAGCCCCCAAGGAAGGCCACCGGATCGGAGAGAAGGACGCTCACGGTGGCCCACCAAATGGGCCACAGGGTCCCGGCCCCCTGGGCCTCTGGTCGCTTTCTGGAGTTCGCGCAGCTGAGATCGGCCTCTGAATGCGCGTTGGTCCTCAAGTAGGATCTCTCTCACTGCGCAGCAACGAGCCTTCGAAGCGTGAGATCCACGTAGAAAATGCACTTCCCACTCGCATGGCCCCTTCCACGTCCTCATTGAAAGCAAACGAATCCTCGACGCAGGAGGGCGCAACCGCCGCGCCAACAGGGTCTGCGAGCGACTCTCACAAGATGCCCTGCCGGCTCGCAAATGCGGCGAGCAACCGATGTCCTGGCACTAACTGTTCGGGCGCGCCTTGCGCCGAGGCTGGCGGATCCGCGCTACCCTTTATCCCCCCGACTCGGCGCCCACCTCCCCCTGCCGCGCCCCGGGCGAGCCGCCCGGGAAAAGAGCGGGGGCCGAGGGGGCAGGGCGCGCGCGATGCCCAAGGTCGCCTCGGCCATAGGCCTCTGGATCCTCGAATTGGGCCCCATGGATCGAAACCGTCGTCATTCTCGTCGTCGCGCCGCATGTCTGGCCCCGCCTCGATGCCCCGATCGTCACTGGTCACGTAAAGTAGCACAGGGGAGGTGGGCCTTTGAATTGCATGACTGATATTTTCCTCACTGGCGTCGCTGGCGTTTCGCCGTCAGGCTGCTGCCCTGCCGTCGGCTTGACCTGCTCCAGCAGCAACTTTCTCGCGCGCCTGCTCGCAGGGCCGTTCGGCTTCTTGGGGGATGGCGGGCACGCGAACTTCAAAGCAAGAGGAAGTGCCCACCGATGCGCATTCTCAAGCTGGAGCTCCGAACGCATTCCAACGGGGACGTACACGGGGACGCACACGCACATGCATGCGGGCGGGCGTGCATGCTGACGCGTGGTACTTGCATGGGCGCAAACGTGCACGCGTACCGAAGCACAATACGGGCACCGAACAAATGCAAATGAGTACACACGTGAAGGTGCACACATGGAGGCACATTTGTCCGTGCTCATGGCGCGCCACGCAATATAGCAATGAGCAAAGGTCGACTGTTATGTGCAAGGAAAGGCCATGGAGGATGGCAACGGGAAGGGAGAGCATGTCTAAGTGCGGTTGCGCGACCCTATTTGCCCTCACCAGTTGAGTCAGCGAAATCCCCGGCGACCTGCTGAATGAGGTCGTCCTGCACAGGCCCAGGCAGCATCGGAATGAGCGTCGCGAGGCGAGCGAAGAGCAATGGCTTTGTCGCGGCACGCGCGACCGCGAGCAACTCTGCCGCATGGGTCACCAAAATATATTTGGGGATTACTTCGAAAATCACTTTCTGCACCATCGGTCCGGCGTGTCCAATGCCATTGAACAGGGCGAAGACGAAGTGGCTCCGACCGCCCCCGTGATCTTATGCACCTCTGCGCTCGAGACAACCTCCGCAAGACCATTCATGGCTAGGTTGCCCTTCGTTACGTGCTCCACGCAATTGACAAAAAGCGTCGATGTTGTCTCGAAAAACAATTCCGACTTGCCGTGTCCTTCTTCAGATCCGCAACCATGCCCCCTGGCACGTTGAGGCGTGCTGGAATGCCGAGTGCTGGTCAGGCAGGGTTCCTGGTAGTCTTCTAAGGGACCCCCCCCCTTCTCCTCACGCTTCCCCGCGTGCACCGGCCCCTCTCCCGAGGCCACCACCCCTCGAAAAGTGCAACAGTTTCGCGCCAAGATGGGCCAAGAGAGCCCCAAAAAGCCGCCAAGACGGCCCAAGAGGGCACCGAGACACGCAAACACCGCCCCAAGACGCCAAGACGGCCCCAAGACGGCCCAAGAGGCCGCCAAGACGGCCCAAGAGAGCCCCAAGAGCTGTCCGAAGAGAAGCCTGAGAAGCCAAAATCATAATGTTTCAATTAGTTTTCGAATGATTTTGGCTTTCTCGCCTTTTCGGCTTTACGACACTCCAAGACGGCCCAAAAGGCCTCCAATATCGCACCAAGACGGCCCAAGAGGCCCCCAAGAGGGCCCCAAGACGGCCCAAGCGAGGGCCCAAGAGACGCCCAAGACGGCCCAAAGGGCGCCAAAGACAGCGTCAAGAAGGGCCAAAGAAGGGGACCACGAACCGAAAATCCGAGCCTTCCGCCCCGAGAGGCCCCCAGGAGGCCCCAAGACGCCCACAACAGGCCCCAAGAGGCCCCCAACAGGACCCCAAGAAACCTAAATGAGGCCCCAAGAGGCCCCAAAACGGCCCCCAAGAGGTTTCAAAACTGCCCCCCAGAGGCTCCCGAAAAGCCAACCACGAGATCCCAACACACACACACACAAGAGGCATCAGATTGACAACTCAGGCTTCATTATCATCATCATCATCATCATCATCATCATCATCACCATCATCATCATCATCATCATCATCATCATCATCATCATCATCATCATCATCATCATCAACATCATCAACATCATCATCATCATCATCATCATCATCATCATCATCATAATCATCATCATCATCATCATCATCAAAATCATCGTCATCATCATCATCACCATCATCATCATCATGAACATTATCATCGTCATCATCACCACCCCCGAAACGGCCGAGGTGTCACATGTGACGGTTTCGGCCTCTGCCGCGAGGCCTCATCAGAGCCATCATCGTCAACGTCGTCGTCTCGCCCCAGACGGCCAAGGTGTCACATGCGACGGTGTCGGCCTCTGCGTCACGTCCTCGCTGCCACAATACCGTCCGAGTGAGATTCGTGAGGGTTCCTCCAGACACGAAGACGAAAAGGTGTCACATGTGACGGTTTTTTCCTCCTCTTCCTCCTCCCCATCATCAACGTCATCATCATCACCGCCATTAACACATCCTCTTTACCATCGCCATCGCCATCATCACCATCACCAATATCATACCACGAATTACAATACGTCGCAGGCTTGGACACCCGTGTTCCCTCGAAAAAAAAAAAAAAAAAAAAAAAAAAAAAAAAAAAAAAAAAAAAAAAAAACGAGACAACTGGGCTGGAACGGTGGTAGGATTTGCCGCAGGCAGCTGGCTATTGTACTCCTGAACACTCTAACGCGTGTCCGAACCGTCTTATCCCTCTCCATGTAGACCGCAGGGAACGCAACCTGCAGGGCGCGCAGGGCGGGGATGACGAACTCGCGGTGTTTCGTGAGGAACGGCAAAGCTATATCACTTACGAAGCGCCTCGCCCCTGGCTTATTGTCGAATAGTGTTACCCATTGGCCGCACCCCTCGTGTTTGACCTGCCTGCCGGAGCGGTTGATCTTGTCAGCATAATGAGTGATGCTGCCAGTAATGCCGCAATGTTCACAGTCGAACTGGACCTTCCCGACCATGATTTGCCCTAGCGCCTCGATGACGATCTCCCCCGTCTCCTGCAAGCCCTGCTTGCCCGACTGGCTTCGGAGAGGCAGCGCCTTCCGAAGGAACTCCAAGTTGTTGTCACTTCCTGTGTCGATCGCCTGGGCAACTGATTCTTTCATCTGGGTGGGGCTCATTACCACTGCAAGCGAATCCCCTGCTAGGAAATGTTTGAGAAAGTCAGGTGCTTCAAAGGTGGTGCGCCATTTCTCCACCTCCTCACGATCCCTGTCAGTGGCCACTGCAGCTCCCAGAAGCTCTTGTAACTCTTTCTTCAAGAGGTCGTCCACCATAAGCATGGAAGAAAGTTGAATCAATGACATCACCGTCGAGATGCTTGGTGCCCCCCACTGGGGCTCCTTGGAGCCGATCCGCGAGAGCAAACGGATCAAAACAGAGACGTCGCACCCATCCGGCAACTGCAGGCTTGCAGACTGCAGGGACTCATCTTGCCAGGTGTCCGACAGGGCCGTTTCAAAGTATGGCACCACGCGGAGCACCGCTTTGCTGACATGGATGGTCTCCACGAGCGACGATTGCCCAGGTTCCAAGGTGCGCACCTGCAATGTAATGGAGGGCTCGGAGAAAAGGTCGCAATTGAAGAGACCTCCCTTGGGGAGTTCCACGTGCTCCGCCATTCGTAGTCGGAGGCTCCGGCCAAGCGCGAAAGAAAGAGACCGGACGTGACGAGCGCGCACTGTTTCGCGCCGCTTGAACATACAATGCTTGAGCCAAGGAAGCAGGTCGCGTGTGTGGATCCTCAGGCAGGGGCGCCTTGGATGCCTCCCGGGGCCTCGCGGAATCATCCCCGAGGGCATGTTAGAAGACTCTGCTGGGCCTGTCGGGGACCTCTCGGCGCCTCTTGAGGCCGTCTCGGGCAGATCAGGGGAGTCGCTTGGGAGCGTCTTGCAGGTCTCCCAGAAGGTAGAGTCAACATCCGCCGACCCCCGCATGCCGGGGGTGAAAAGTCGTGCGAGACATTTGGCCCCCTCCCCCTTTCCCCGTCCCCTGGAATCCAAAATCCGATTAGAGGGGGGGTGGCGGTGAGGGGGGGGTGGGGGGACGAGCTCGTCAACGCACCCCGGGAGGGCCCAGAGCCTCCAAAAAGGCCCCAAGACGGGCCAAGAGAGCCCCAAGAGGCCCCCAAGACGCTCGAAGAGAGCCTCGAGTGGTCGAAAGATCGCTCCAAGACGCCCAAGATGGCCTCCAGACGGCCCAAGAAGCCTCCAAGACGTCCCAAGCGGTCTCCCAAGAGGGCCCCAAGAGGCAAAATTCATTGATTTTCTGTTAGTTTTTGAATGTGTTTGGCATTCTCGCCTTCTCGGATCTCCAAACAACCGAAGAGGCCCCCAAGATCGCCCCAAGACGGCCCAAGAGGCCCCCACGGCCCCGGGACGGCCCGAGAGGGCCCCAAGACGGTCCAAAAGGCGCCCAAGACAAGCCAAGAGGGCCCCAGGACGTTCCCAAGAGTGGCCCAAAAGGGGGAACACGAACCCAAAAAATTCAAGCCTTCCGCCCCGAGAGGTCCCCAGGAAGCTCCAAGAGGGCCTCAAGACGCCCCAAGAAGCGCCCAGGAGACCTCCAAGAGGCCCCAAGAGCCCCCCAAGAGTCTTAGAAAAGCTCCACGAGGCACCAAAACGGCCCCCAACAGGCTTCAAAACTTGCTCCAAGAGGCCCCCGAGAGGCCTACCACGAGATCCCTCCCACCGAACACTGAAGAGGCCTCTGACCCATCACCCAAGCATGGTGGCGGGATGGGCCGAAGCCAATAGATTACTTCCACGGTCGTCGCGCACTCCCACTCCTTCTGGGGGTCGGCGGAATGGCGTAAGCCACTTGAATCTATAACAAGGACGCAAGGTAAGGACGCAAGGCCCTTGGAGACCGGAGGGGGGGGAGGGGGGAGAGGAGGGGGAGGAGGAAGGAGGAAGAGGAGGAAGGAGGAGGGGGAGGAAGGGGGAGGACGCAAGGGTACCCTGGGGGCAGGCGCGCGTCCTTACTATGGATTATAACTGTATTGGGGGCGTGTTGGGAGCCCCAGCGCTCGCCAAAAGAGTTTCCCACGGCGGTTCCAGGTACGTACACTCTTGGGGCCCTCCTCCTCCTCATCCCCCTCCCCTTCCGCCTCCCCCTCGTCCTCGTCCTCGTCATCGTTCTCCTCCTCCTCCTCCTCCTCCTCCTCCTCCTCCTCCTCCTCCTCCTCCTCCTCCTCCTCCCCCAGAAGAGTTCGCCACGGCGGCTACAACCCCGAGAAGGCGCTAGCCTTACATCTACAGGCAGGGCCCGCGTCTTCGAAGAAGCAAGGGTGTTTCTGAGGAGCCGTCTGCGCGTGGCCGAAGGATGCGGAACAGGACCAGGAGGAGGCGGATGAACGCAAACGTGCAGGAGAGTGCTTGCAAGAAAGTGCGACTGTAGCATCTGCCTAGGGGGAGCGTTCGCCATACTTGTTATTGAAACCCCTTGAAATAAATTGATCAGGGAGCGCGTTGGCTTGGACTACTGCACCCCAGGTCTTGGAAACGAAAGAAACCATGTTCTCAACAAACTTCGCCCATCGTGTGGCCAGAAAGCGAGGTTTCCGCAGGCACCTTAATTATGAAAAAACACCGAACATTCTTCGCCACAACAAGGGAGGAAAAGACGCGGCCGTCTGCACCACCGTAGGGCGTCGTCGGAGGACCTGATCTCGGAAAGTGGCCGCGGACAGAAATCAGGGGCTCCGACAAAAGAGATGTTATACTATTCGCGATAACGCCCGTTGCCGGCGGCACCCCCCCCCTCCCCCCCCCTGGTCACGTCACGAATCGCGCCGGTTAACACATATATATATATATATAGGAACAACAATGGTATATAAACGCGCTGCTGCTACTACGACTACTACGACTACTACTACTACTACTACTACTACTACTACTACTACTACTACTACTACTACGACGACCACGACGACGACGACGACGACGACGACGACGACGACGACGACGACGACGACGACGACGACTACTACTACTACTACTACTACTAAGGCTACTAGACTACTGAGACTACTAAGACTACTACTACTACTACTACTACTACTACTACTACTACTACTACTACTACTACTACTACTACTACTACTACTACTACTACTACTACTACTACTACTACTACTACTACTACTACTACTACTACTACTACTACTACTACTACTACTACTACTACTACTACTACTACTACTACTACTACTACTACTACTACTACTACTACTACTACTACTACTACTACTACTACTACTACTACTACTACTACTACTACTACTACTACTACTACTACTACTACTACTACTACTACTACTACTACTACTACTACTACTACTACTACTACTACTACTACTACTACTACTACTACTACTACTACTACTACTACTGCTACTGCCACTACTACTACTCCAGCGACAATTACTAGTAAGAGTAGTAGTACTAGTACTACTACCAGTAATACCAATAATGCTACTACCTCTGCTGCTTCTGCTACTACTGCTACTTATACTGCCACTGCGACTGCTGGTAATAACACCACTACCACTATCACTACAACTGCTACTACTACGACTACTACTGATACTACGACTACCACCACTACAAAAACAACTACGACTGCGACTACTACTAATACGACTACGACTGCTAATACTACTACTACTACTACTACTACTACTACTACTACTACTAATAATAATAATAATAATAATACTGATACTAATACTAATACTAATACTACCACTACCACTACTTGTACTACTACGACAACTACCACTACTACTACTGCTACTGCTACGACTACTAATACTGCTACTACTACTACTACTACTACTACTACTACTACTACTGCTGCTACTACTACTACTACTACTACTACTACTATACTACTACTACTACTATACTACTACTACTACTAACTACTACTTTTACCACGACTACTACCACTACCACAACCACCATGACTACTACTACTACTACTACTACTACTACTACTACTACTACTACTACTACTATACTACTACTGCTACTACTACTATACTACTACTACTACTACTACTACTACTACTACTACTACTACTACTACTACTACTACTACGACTACTACTACTACGACTACTACTACTACTACTACTACTACTACTACTACTACTACTACTATTACTACCACTACCACTACCACTACCACTACTACTACTACTACTACTACTACTACTACTACTACTACTACTACTACTACTACTACTACTTCTACTACTACTACTGCACCACTACTCGTCGTCGTCGTTCTCCTTATCCTCATCCTCTCCGTCCTGTGGTGGCACCGCTCGGTGGACATGGGCCCTGCGTAGTGCAGTGACAAAGCCAGTTGGATAAGACGCGGTCGTGAGAGGTCAAGCTGGTACTCAATGTGGTGCAATCTATGCAGTGTCAGTACAGAGAGGAGTAGTAGTAGTAGTAGTAGTAGTAGTAGTCGTAGTAGTAGTAGTAGTAGTAGTAGTAGCAATAGTAGTAGTAGTAGTACTAGTACTAGTACTAGTACTAGTACTACTAGTAATACTGGTAGTAAACGTACCAGTAGTACTAGTAGTACAAGTAGTAGTAGTAGTAGTAGAAGTAGTAGTAGTAGAAGTAGCAGTAGTAGTAGTAGTAAACTACTAGTAAACTAGTAGTACGTAGTATTAGTAATAGTAGTCGTCGTAGTAGTAGCAGTAGCAGCAGCAGTAGCAATAGTAATAGCAGCGCGCTTGCATACCATTTCTTTTCCTCTCTGTATGTAAGCCCTGACAGCATAACACTTTCCCTAAGCAATCCTGGACGCCACCGGCGCGAATCGTGACGTTACCGGCCCCCTCCACCCCCCCACCCCAACCCCCGGTAACGGCCGTTATCGCCGAAGACTACAAAAATGGTCTCCAAGCGAGGGAGCGCCCCAAACAGACGACCCAGCGAGGCAGGGACAAGGCGGAGGGAACGCGCCACGACACAGCGCCAGGAAGGCGAGGGCGCGCAGCTCACCATCCAGCCCGTCTGGCCCTGGCGGCGGGCGGCGACGGGCCTGCTTCCGGTACTGCTGCACCTCCGCGACCGTGGGCCACACCATGTCGTTCTTGTGCATGTCGTCCCACAGCATCTCGTCCACCCCGACCTCTGAGGTCAAGCGGTAAAGTACACCCGCGCTCCAGAGGCGAGTGACGCGCGAGCGAAGGAAGAGCGAGGCGAAGGGCGGAGGAAGAGAGGGACAGATGGGGATGTGTTAGCAGCAGTGCGGCGAAGCCCGCCGAGGCAGCATGCAAGAAGGCTGGCTCAGCAACCGTCCAGCCACGGCGGCGGCGGCGGTCTTGCTCCTCTTCGAGCCAAGCGACTGGAGGTGGGAGGGAGGAAGTCTGGACGGAGGGAGGGCGGAAAGGAGGGAGCCCTGGCAAGCACGGCGAGGCCGGCCGATGGCAGCCCGAGCAACAGGCATCCGCGTGGCCGTCCTCGACCGATCGTCACCAAGGCCATCACGCCCACCATTCCAGGCGAAGCTTCGATATCCTAGGTCGTCACCCAACTTGGCGCGGTCCTCTTCGCGCCGTGGCGCAGTCACACTGGAGAAGGGCGGTTCTCCAGCCCAGGCCGCCACGTGCGGATCCCCCGCGGGCGACCTGCACATTGGAGCCTCGCGGACGCCTCGTGCGCTGGCTGGACGTAAGTAACTTGCGCCACATGGCTGGCACCCAAACAGCTCGGACCAGACGGGTCCAACAGCACAGCTTGCACATCCACCGTGCACACCCGCTGCTCGAGGGCCCACGCTGGCGTGTGCCCCTGTGTCTTGGTGGTGTGACAGCGCCGCGTGGGGAAACTGAAGGGGCCCTGGGACACACACATAAATACACACAAATAAAAAGATTCCCCATATTTTCCTAGGGTTTTTGTCTTCCCCCCCACTTCCCATATTTTTCCATATTTTAGAAGGAATCGAGGATTAATTGTGTCTGTGTTTTTTCCCCTCCTGAGAAACCTAGGAGGGAAGGGCCGAAGGCTCCCTCCCCCGGCCGCTCCAGGAGGGCGCCCCCCGCGCGAGGAGCGGTGGCGTGCAGCTGCTGGTGACCGGCCGCCGGGGCGTGACCCGGGCGTTGCAGGCGATGGCTCGGGGATCTCCTGACCCGGGTCCATCCAGACCCGGGTCAGTCAGGCCTAGCAGAATCCTGCAAGATCCTGCAAGGCCCTGCACCCAAACCCGGGTCAATGCGAAGGATCCTGCGAGATCCTAGAGGATCCTGCACCCAAACCTGGGTCAATGCGACCCTGGCCCTGCAGGATCCTGCAAGATCTGGCGCCCTGGCTGAGCCCCGTTTGCATGGACCCCCGTCTCAAGGCTCCTGAATGGCGCAGGCTCGCACGCCGCCGGCGCCCTTGATGCCCTCGACGACAACGACGACGACGACGACGACGCAAGGTCCAGTCCCGAGAGCCGCTATCGAGTTCCCGAAGGCTTCTCAGAAGGAGGCTGCTTCTTAGAAGGCGCCAGCCTTGCAGCTATGGACAAGGCCTGCCCCTGCCCTTCTCAGAAGCAGGGCTGTTTCTAAGAAACCTTCCACCCTCCCACAACCCCCTCTGTGCGTGGCTGACTCACCCCGCCTCGAAGATGGACTCGAAATACTCGTTGACGGGGCCGTCCAAGATGCCGGCAACCCGCAGCTTGTTCACGTACAGGCAGGGAGTGTGCCCTCCCGCGCACGCGCGCCGCGGGCAAGGGGGGTCGGCAGAGGACGAGGAGGGGGAACGAGCGAAAATCAAATGCATCAACAACAATGCTGCAACAAACACACACACACACACACGCACGCACACACACGCACGCACGCACGCACAACACACACACACACAACAAAACACACACCCACACACACACAAAATACAAACATGTTCGGCGTCGCGGCCACGCGCGCGGCAGCGCGGCGTAGAAAGTCAAGCAGGAGTGGAGCGCGGCCAGCCCAGGCCACGCGGCATGACCCACACACACACACACAGACACACACACACACACACACAGACACACACACACACACACTCTTTTGACCTGCGGGGCGAGAGCGAACACACACACACACACACACACACACACACAAAAAAAAAAAAACACTCCTAGCCCTGACCCGAGGGGGCTCCGAGGGAACATATGCCTCCAGGAGGCCCAGAGCGGTATGGACTACGTCCAGATCCCGCCCCGCCGCCTCCCCCCCCCCCCTGGGCATCGCTCGGACGTCCATTCCCTGTGTGTTGTTCGGTTTCGTGCGTGGTTTTTCGCCGAATGACTCAGGATGCTCCTCGATGGCCCTCGCCGAAGGAAAAAAGCACACGTCCGAGCGATGCCAAGCCCCAAGGCACAGTCCGAGCCCCCCCCCCCTTTCCCTCCCTGAGGCTGCCGCTGGGCGGCCCCTGCGGAGCGGGCGGTGTTGGCGGGGCACCCCCTGGGCCCGCGCGGCGGACAAGATCATATTGTGCCAACTGCTGAGTATGAAGGGGCCCCAGGACACACAAACAAATACACACACATAAAAGAATTCCCCATATGTTCCCACATTTTTGGGGGGGGTCGTGCGTGGCTTTTTCGCCGAATGATCAAGGATGCTCCTCGATCGTCCTCGCGGAATGAAAAAAAAGCACACGTCCGAGCGATGCCAAGCAGGAGGCCCATAGCAGTATGGAATACGTCGAGATCCCGCCCACCGCCGCCTCCCCCCCCCCGCGCGCACAGTCCGAGCCCCCCCCCCCCCCCCCTTTTCCATCCCTGAGGCTGCCGCTGGGCGGCCCCTGCGGAGCGGGCGGTGCTTGGCGGGGCACCCTCTGGGCCCGCGCGGCGGACAAGATCAGATTATGCCAGCTGCTGAGTACGAAGGGGCCCCAGGACACACAAATAAATACACACAAACCAAATAGGTTCCAATATGTTTGGAGGTGTTGTCTTCCCGCCCAATTCCCATATGTTCCCATATCTTCTGGGGGATCGACGATTAATTGTGTCTGTGTGTTTTTTTCCCCACCTGAGAGTATGATCGTCGCAGCAGCTGGCAGGGAGATGAGGAGAAGCAGGGACGACACCTCGCCGCCCTCCCCCGAACTTCATCGCTCCCACCCCCCAAGCATCTCTCCCTCGCCTCCAGCACGCCTCTCCTCTCGGTTCCGCCTTCCTCTAGGCCTCCCCGACGCCTCTCCGCTGAGGAGACCGCGCCATTACCGTCGAGCGAGCGTCAGCGGCAGTCCCCTTGTCGGCTCAATCGATCTCGCTCTCTCTGTCTATCTCTCTGTGTCTCCCTCTCACTCTCTCTCTCTCTCTGTCTGTGTTGCGCCCGCGAGCCCCTCCGTAGTAGAAGACCCGCTGGCCCTTTTGACAAAGGGGCTGCAAGGAGTAGTGCGCAGTCCGTACTACCCGTATAGAAGAACGTAATCCCAATGCCGACCGACCGACGTCCAACTACTCCGTCTTAAGATGGGACGCGTGGACGTATGCAAGCAATATGCGCCTACAACAAAAAACCGATCTACAGTCGGGGCGTTGACCTAAGAAACCCTAAATAAGGAACGGGGCCCCTTTCTCCCATAAGTTGAACTTCGATCTCCCATGGAAAACCTCAGGAAAACAGAAGGCGCACTGTAGAACAGTCAAGGAACACCGAGCCCCTCACCAACGAAAAGGGTTCCTTCTGCAGGGCCCTGGCTGTGTGCAAGCAATACGCGCCTACAAAAACAAATCCGATCTATGTGCGGTGCAGGGCGTGCTGTACCTGCAGCTGGGCGGCCTCGCTCTGTGCCGCAGGGTCGACGCATCCTGGTGTTCCTGCATCCCCAGACCCCCGACGCCGTGATTTCCGTTCTCAAGGTGGACCCCTAGATTTCTCGACCCCCTTTGGCGGCGCGCAGAGGGGGGTAGGGGGAGGGGGGATGGCTTCTTAGAAGGAGGCTGCTTCTTAGAAGGCGCCGGCCTTACATTTGTAGACAAGGCCCGCGCCTTCTAAGAAGCAGGGGTGCTTCTAAGAAGCCTTCCCCCCTCCCCATACCCCCCTGTGCGCGCCGCCAACCCCTCCCCAGGACCAGCTCTTCATACCGAGTCGCTCTTTGACGGCCCTGGAGAGGCCGCAAAATGCCCAAAGCCGACCGTCACGTCCTTTGTCGAAAGCGCCAGGGGTTCTGGGTCTGGTCGACGCCGTCGCAGGAGAACGCCAACTATAATGGAGGCCTCCCGAATGGGCTCCGAGCAGGTGGGGTCGATCGCGCCGCATCGCTGACGCATCAGCGACGTCGGCGAATCGGCGCCGCCGGCGCGAAGAACATCAGGCTCCGCCTCGAGCCGCATCGCCGCGTGATCCTCCGACCCTGTCTGCACTCAATGAATAAAAAAACAGCATAAACTCGGCGGTGGACAAACCTCCTTTTAGTAAACAACCCCTTAGTGAAAACGGCCTGGGACCGAAACCGACGGACCTGGACCCGCAAAAGTAACCGCCGCGACGCCCTCTCGCGAACCGAAAACGGCCAATTCCTTACTCGACGTGTCAGGGTAGGAGGTCTATCCACCTCCGATAAACATAAACTGTCGGAGGTCCGTGCGGATCCCCTGGCTCCGCGCAGTGCCCCCCTCCCTGGCGCGCGGAGCATGCCAGGTGCGGCACCAGCGGCGCCGCCACGGGGAGCCCCAGCGCCGATGCAAGCAATCCGCGCAGAGCTCCGGAAGTCAATTCACAAGGGATGTGGCGACCCCTATCCTCAAGTCGGGCGCCTGTCCCCCTACAGGGGGATTTTCGGCGAAACACAAAAAATACCCTAAACATCGACAAAAAATAATCCAAACATAGTCTGGGGACTATGTTTTGAATAGTTCTTGTCTTTTTGTGGCATTTGGGGGGTATTTTTTTTCGTCGAAAACCCCCCTGTAGGGGGACACGCCCGACATAACCCGAGCCTGTCCCTTGTTCCCAGCCGCTTTTTGACCTTTTTGGGGTGTTCTTGGGGTATTTTTGTAATTTTGTCGTCGAACATCCCCCTGTAGGGGGACGGGCCCGACTTGACCCTATCCCGGGCTTCGTGGGGTCTTCGAATGGACCAGAACCTTGGGGGGCCAACCTCCGGACATACACGATTAAAGGGAAATTAGGACACACAAATAAATACACACAAATAAAATTAGTCCCCATATTTTCCCATATTTTCTGGGTTTTTGTCTTCTCCCCCAATTCCCATATTTTCTCATACTTTCCTGGGAATCGAGGATTAATTGTGTCTGTGTGTTTTTTTCCCTCCTGAACGATGGAGGGGGCGTCCACCCTCGATGCGGGTTCGTCCGAATGGCCCCCCCCTTGGGGTGACGCCCATGGGTTCTGTCCGGTTCTGAGCGGCTTCCTGTCTCTCGTCGAAGCCAGGGGCTGGGGGAAGCAGATTGCCCGCGATGTGTGTGTCTATGCCGCTCTCCCTCCTCGATACCCCGACCTCCTTTGTGAAGGGGCCCTGGGACACACAAACAAATACACACACCAATAAAAGGATTCCCCATCTTTTCCCTTATTTTCGGGGTTTCTGTTTTCCCCCCCACTTCCCATATTTTCCTAAATTTTCCTGGGAATCGACGATGAATTGTATCTGTGTTTTTTTCCCTCCTGACTTTGGGAAGCCTGGATCTGCTCTCGGGGGGCAGCGTGGCCGTGCGGGGGCGGAGCGGCAGAGGCGTCGGCCGGGGCATCTGTGGGTGGCGCAGCCCGTGGACCGGCGGGCGGTAGAACGGTTCTTCCCCCTTGAAGCCGGCGAAGAGCGTCTCGGGGGGGGGGCGGGGGGATGAGGGCGGGGAGGATGAGGGAGGGAGGAGGGACGAAGCATGAGATGGTGACAGCGGGGGGACAGAGGGGGGACAGAGGAGGAGGAGGAAGAGGAGGAGGAGGAGGAGGAGGAGGAGAAGGAGGAGGAGGAAGAGGAGGAGGAGGAGGAGGAGGAGGAGGAGGAGGAGGAGGAGGAGGAGGAGGAGGAGGCTCAAATCGCGCGCAGCCGTTGCCCGGCTGCCTCTCTCCTCACCCGCCCTTCCACTTCCCCACCCCCGCCTTCCTTCCCCAACTCCCGCGCCATGGAGGTCGATGTCGACGTCGGGATGGCGGCGGGGGACGACGAGGACGTGGGCGGAGCGGCTGCTGCCGCGCCTTCCGGAGCAGCCCCCGTTGGCGGCGCATCCCGCGCCGCTGCTGCCCTGGAGAGCGCCGCAGGCGCCGCTGTCGCTGCCGCCTCCGCTGCTCCGCCTGCCGCCGCTACCCAGCGCCCTCCACGAGTGCGCACTTGGGTGGCCAGCCGACAGGCGCCCCGGAAGCACGTGGCGGCCTGCTGCGCGCGCTGCGAAGGCTTCGCGCCGGGGGCGGTCCGCCTGGCGAGCAGGGCGAATCCTGACAGGTATTTCCGCCACCCGGCATGCATCGCCGGCGGTGTGCCGCACGGGTCCGTGGAGGGCTTGGCGGCACTACCCGAGGAGGGCCGCGTGGAGATACTCGCCTGCACGACGCTGGCGCCAGGGGCTGCCCAGCCAGAGGCGGACATCGCGCCGGCCAACGACCCCCAGCCGCGGCGCGTGCTGGCGGCAGAGGCGGGCGAGCTCCCTGGGCTGGGCGGGCTTCGACTTGCACGGCGCCCTGCGGGAGCCGGTGCCCACGTGGACAGCGACGCCCCCGGCCTTCGCCGCAGCGGTCGCGGACGTGCTCGCCGCGGCACTGCGCGCAGTCGCGGCGGACCCCACGAGCGAGGCGGCGTGGGCCCGGCTGCTCTTGCTGCCGCGGCTGCTCTTCGCGGTGCCCCCCGCCAGCAGCAGTGACGAGCAGCTCTCGGCCTCTAAGGTGCTTCCGCGCCGCCTCCGTCAGGCCTGGGCCGGCGATTGGACGGCGCTGTGGGCCGCGACAGCGCGACCCGGGGAACTGGTCGAGGACCGCGCGGGCCAGCGGAAACCCGAAGAAGTGGCCCGGCGGGTGCATGAGCTCATCATGCTCGGAGAGGTCGGCCGCGCTGCTGCGGCGGCCGCGGGGCCCGGCCAGCTGGCGCAAGGGCCCGGGGTGGCTCGAGACCTGGCCGCCCTCTTCCCGCCGGCGGCGCCCGCCGACCGCCCGCCGCCGCCGCCGCCCGCAGCGCGGCCCGCCGAGCCCTGGGAGGCCGACGCGGCCGAAGAGGCAGCGGGCAGCCTCGGGAAGTACCCGCGCCACTCGGGCCCAGGCCTCTCGGGCGCCCGCTTCGAGCACTGGGCGGCTCTGCGCGGGCACAGCGAGGGGAAGCAGGCGCTCGCGCAGGTGCTCGTCCTCATCCTGGAGGGCCGGGTGCCGGAGCAGGCCATGCAGGCCATCCTCGCCGGGCGGCTGCTGCCGCTGCTGAAGCCGGGAGGCGGCGTGCGGCCGCTGGCTCGCGGTGAGACGCTGCGCCGGATGGCGGCCAAGGCGGCCGCGGCGGCGCACAAGGGAGCCATCGCTGCAGCGGTGGGTCGCTGCCAGTTTGGCGTGGGCCGCAAAAGCGGCATCGAGCTGATGCACCGCGTCGTGGCGACCGCGCTGGAGCAGGACTCCGGCGCCGCGGTGCTCTCCTTGGACGTGACCAACGCGTTCAACGAGCTCTGCCGGGACACTCTGCTGCGGGAGGTCGCTGGCCGCTTGCCGGAGCTCTCGCGGCTGGCGCAGGCGTGGCACGGCAGGGCCACCACGCACGGGGCCTGCCTTCCTGGGGCCAGGGCGGCGCCGGTCAGGGCGGAGCGCGGGGTGGACCAGGGTTGCCCCCTCTCCCCGGCGTTTTTCGCGCTGGCGTCGGCGACTCTCTTCGAGGACCTGGAGGCGGCGGCGCGCCGCCAAGACCCCGGCGCCAGGGTGGTGGCCTACCTCGACGACGTGTACGTCGTGGGCAGCCCGCGCGCACTGGCCGCCGCGCTCCTCGCGGCGCCAGCGCTCCTGGCGGCGCGCGGCCTCCGCCTGAGCGCGCGGAAGACCAAGGTGTGGAACCCTCGAGACTTGCCTCTCCCAGGGCCGCTGGCGAGGGCAGCAGTGCCCGACCTCACGTGCGTGGGAAGCACGCTGCCCTACGCACGCAACGCGGCGGGGGCAGGCCCGGGCGCCGACCCCGCGA